GTGGAAACAGCAAAACAATCATGATTGGTATACTTTTACATATGTTCTCATTTTATGGTTGGAATATGCAAGTATGGCTATTTTAATATGTATGAACCATCTTTTGCTGACAAAATTTTTCATGTGTTGCAGCATGTATCAGCCCCGCTGACACAAATGCTGAGGAAACACTTAATACCTTGAAGTATGCAAACCGTGTACAGAACATTCAGAATAAAGCAATTGTAAGCTTCGATCTATAGAAATATTTATTTTGTAAATTGTTGTGGATGATCCAATTTCAAAAAGAAATTAAAATGTACATTGTATGCCGAATTTTGCTCTTTTAAATTTGTAGATCAACCGTGATTCTGCGGCGGCACAATTGCAAAGGATGCGGAGTCAGATTGAACAATTGCAAGCAGACTCTAGTGCAAAAGCTGAAGAAAACCAAGTACGAAATGCTCACCGGTCTATATCAGTTCATTTCAAACTTGTTTTCTAAGTGTCCACATTAGCTAATATTATATATTTGTAGGTTTGTGTAGAGTGATAAGTATTGCATTCTTGATTATATTTTTGATGTCTGTAACTTTTTGGATTACAGATGCTCAAGCACAAAATATCTTTACTTGAAGAAAGTAAAATGGAATTACAAGAGGCTCTACATGATTCTCAGGTTCATTTCTATTCTTGTCAAATTCATTGCTCCATGACTATGTTGGAGTTCAATGCATCTGTTGTGTTAATATGAACCATGTGTCAGGTGGAAAGGGATAGACTGATTATGCAAATCGAATCAATTCAAAACGGAAAACCAATGAATGAGATTGACATCAAGTCTAATAAGGTTTGATTGTCATGGATGTCCTAAACTTTCCAGTATACTGATATTCTTGTGAACTGATATTCTTGTGACTGCTAAACTTGTTGATCGATATTACTCTCTCCCTCTCTCTGTCTCTCTCTCATTCACTCACTCTCTCACTCCTTCGATTTTAATCTCTTTTTTTTTAGGATTTTGATATGGTGAAGAGTTATAACATGAAGATTCAGGATCTAGAGTCTGAATTGATAAAGGTGCGGAGTCTAAATCAATCAAGACGTGAGGATTTTGCTGATTACCTTGATTCAGAAAATGATGGGAATCACTCAGGAAATTTGTATATCGTAGATGCTGATATGAGAACAGAAAAAGATGGTAAGCATCAGAAACTATATTGATATTTTTCTGCAGCTTTGTCTGTTGTAGATGCCCCATAATTTTTACAAATGTTATTTTAATCATAACTGTGAGCGTATATGAGTTCAAAATATCTTGTTGGAGGTCTTACTTTAACCACTATCTACATTATGATCACTTAAGGGTGATTGCTGCATAGATCAGACATTGAAATCTCTAGACATTGAAATCTCTCGACAATTGCAGGGAGGGTTGAAGTTGTGGAAAAGGAACTTGAACATTCTTCTCGTCAAGAAAAATTAGACAGGAAATTGAAAGAATTAGACAAAAGACTTGAGCAAAATGAGGTAAACATCCAGTATATTTAAATCTAAGAATGATGGAGTCCTATTTGGTAGTCATGTGGTTAGGCAAAAAAGAAGTAGTTTCTCATAAAGGGCACGCAGAAGAAGAAAATTAATAGATAAAATGGTTAGGTATATAGTAGTATTTTCTTAATGAATTTTGTAATGTATATTATGAAGTTATTTCGTTTCTTTGTCAAACATTTTCCAAATTCAAGAAAACCTTTCCATCTGCATTTTATTTTTTTATCTAGCATGACATGGTATTAAGAACAAGAATAAAAGATCCTCTTAATATACCATCTTTGTATTTTTCTGATTACATAGAATTAGTGATTAAGAAGCCATTTGATTCGGTATTTTATCATATTTATGTGATTTGCTTAGAGATAGAAAAGGTTGGACTATCTTCGGTTTTCATCATTAGCCTTTTCTCCTCGGGTATTCTGAGTTTGAAATAAAGAACAACTCCATTTAGGAATCCCATACAAAAAATAAAAAATAAAAATGATTTACAATAGGCTAGATGGGTGCTTACAAGTCACAACTTTGTTCCACTCTGTACAGTATGCCTTAATAACATTTGTGTTTTAAAATTTGGTCTTGTCTAGTACAGATGATGGGCAATCACTCTGATCAATCTTTTAAATTTTTAATTACCATTTTTAATTATCAATTTGTGGGATATCATCGGTGGTATTCAAGCTGTTCCTGAATATTAATTATTGGATTTTTCTGTAGAAGTTGGCTCTAGAGAGACCATCCAGTGAAACAAAAGTGGGCTGTGGTTGTGTCTTACAATCTAAGGTATTACAATCTAAGGTATGTAAATATGCCAAGTCAAGCTATCATTTGTTTAATCTACATTGTCGATCAGTTGTCCACTCAACTTGTATCATACATTTTACCACTGTTTGGTATTAATTTGCATCAATCTTTTTATACTTAGGGATCTCGTAACTCCTCAACCAGTAGTAAAGTTTATGGGAACGAGCTACTGGAGGACATGGACACATCAAATGAGTCAGAGGATGATGTCGAGTGGGGACACACAGTAGAGAGAAAAGGTCGTGAAGGTAGAAGGAAGGAGAATCTTAGAAGGAAGGAGAAACTGGGCGAGTCAATTTATTGCTCGTGCAGTATAAATTCATCCTGCAAGACGTCAAGGTGTGATTGTCGGGCCGTAAAGGGTAGCTGCAGCAACTCCTGTAGATGCGTGCCCACCAAATGTAGAAATCGGAAGGAGTCTTCTGGAAATTTGTTCGAAAGAGATGAAAAGGAGAGTAATAATGATGAACTTGCTTCTCATGGTGCAATGCTGCTTCAAACTGCTTTTTCTGAGAAGCCCGCTGGGGCGAATGATGCTGAGTTCGTGAGGAAGCCGCTGTTCGACATTGGGAATAACCTGGTAAGTGCACTTCCCTCATTTGCGACTGTTATTATATGAATGAACCGTAATATATTTACTTGAAAACGGTCTGTTCACTAAGTTTTAATTTATTGCCGCTCTTCTTGACAATGTAATTTTTTTATTTTTTTTTATTTTTAATTTTTAAAATTGTCCGTCAATTGAAATTTTCGAGTATATAATTTTTTTTAAATGTTGCAGGCATTATCCGGCATACCAAAACCAAATATTCCGTGGAAAAAACGGCGCAAGTCGGTCATTCAGCTTGTTCCGACAACACCTGCTGCAGCTCAGGCACAACCGAATGCTGAAGTTACTGAGCAGCCAATAATCAATGCCGAAACTGATATCCCATTAAAGTTACCGAGAGCGATTCGGTCAGACTTTGTCAAATAACAATCATCTGAAAAAGAGGAACTTGGATCAGCCTAATGAGCCCATAAATGATGATAATTGTACACCTTCACTAGTAAGTGCTCATCAACAAGCAACAGAAAAATGGGAAAGAAAACAGGGGACTGTAGTAAGAAATCTGCACCACTAGAATTTCCGTTTAGTTCATGTGTCTGATTACTATGACATGACTTGAGAAAATTGACCAATTTAGCCTTATTCTTTACCCAATTTTCTTGAATTTACTAACATTCAAATTTAGTTCTTGAACTTGTATAATGTCCAATGATAATAAAGCCATGTTGAACTTAATGTCTTGTTGGGGTCTTTTTTTCCAAGTGTCTTTGTATATGTTTGGGTGCTTCTGCTTTTGGTAGTTTTAGGTGCTGCTGTTTCCTTTCTTTTGTTGTAGTAGTTGGGGTGATGAATCTACTAGGTCCTGATGGTCAGTGGTAGATTTATCTTTTGCATGGTGCTATTGTCTTAGTACAAATTCTACAGGTATCAAGCCAGTAATTTAGCCTCAGTCTATGCTGGTTTTGCTCTTCTTGTAGTTTTTGGGGTTATTTTGTTGGTTCTAGGTCATTATAGTTAATGTACCTCCAGTCACTACTTGATAGTAGTTCGGTTTGTAATACGCTTATTTCTTTTCTTGGAGATATAAATTCTGTCATTAAAAAAAAAAACATTTTAATAATAAATTTCGATTAATAAAAGTTCAGAAAAATGCCTAAAATCTTGCACAAACCAAATCTTGACACCAACAAAAAATGAAGACGAAACAATCTATCAATAACCGTCACTTTTTTTCTTCTCCTTTTTAAGATTTCGTTTTGAAAATTATTTACAATCTTCTAAGTTTGCTCTCACTTTTTCTTCGCTTCTGGTTAAAGATGAACAAGATGATTGAAATGAAAATTGGATAAACCACTGAACATAAACTAAAGTAATTTCCTCCGAAAATCAAACTCATCTAAAATTAACAATTGCAGCAAATTTCGAGATTTATTGTCTCATACTCAAATTAGACCCTCTCCAACTTAGATGTTGCAGTTGATAACTTTCAAACCAAGCTGTACACTAAACTGCAAAATGGGTTTTTTTGTTGTGTTAGCAACAAATTATGCGTTTATATTTTGGAAAATTGCAGTGCTGCAAACGAACCGAACCGAGCCGAGCTTGGGCTGTTCGAGCTCGTGGTCGTTTACGTTCGAATAATGTTCGTGTTCGTTCGTTTATTTTTCGAGCAAAAAATCGTGTTCGAGTTTGTTCATTTTATTGTTTGTCAAAGTTCGAGTTCATTCGTGTTCGAATAGTTTTATACATAAACTTTTTAAATATGTTTGATTAACTCGAAATTTGTTGTTCGAACTCGTTCGAACTCGAAAAATGAAACAATAAAATATCAATATTTTTATATTTTAGATTTTTTATTAAAAATATTATGTAAATATATAAAAAATGAATAAAATTATATTAAATTTTATTGTTTTATAAAAAATATTATATAAATATATAAAAAAAATAAAATTATATTAAATTAATGTTCGCGAATATAATCGAACGTTCGTGTTCGTCCGATTATTAAACAAGCCTAATTTTCTGTCCGAACTCGGCTCGATTAATAAGCGAACGAGCTTTTGTCGACACAAACGAGCTCGGACGAACTTTTGTTTGCGAACATTCGGTTTGTTTACAGATCTTTGCAACTATGCCCATTATCACTTTGAAAAATATCAACCAGACCCAAATATTAATAATATTCCAACACACCCAAACCTTTCATATATATATATATATATATATATATATATATATATATATATATAGGGTTGGGTTCCAGTGAGAATGGTTCCTAGTGAAAGAAGTGAGAATAAATTGTAGCCATTAGATTGAATGATCTAATGGCTCAAAAAAAATCAAAATTTTATCCTCATCAAGGGTAATATGGACATTTCTCCAGCAACCGTTCACGCACAAACAGTGGGTTCCATCACACCAACCCCACGCAGTCCCTCCATCTCCCTATCTCTCCCTCTCTCCTCTTTCTCTCTCACAAAAAAAAAGACACACACACGCACAACTCACACAGGTCACCGCCTCCCAAACTCCGGCCGCGTCCAATCAACGCCGTCATCTCTAGTCGATGTCGTTGCCTGAACCGGGACGATATGCTCTCCACAACCGCCGATGCCCGCTCCTCCTGAAAATCAGAGGTCGCCGGCGTGAAAAAATGCAACGATTTTAGCTTTGAGGCCCGCCCCTATCCTTCTCCTCCTCATCTGTCTCGCCGACGATTTTTCCGTACCCTGAACAGTGAAAAAGATGGAACAACGATTTGGAACTTCAAGAATTGGGGGTTGCTTGTTGGGGATTTTGATTTGTAAATTAGATAGATTTCAAGGATTTGTATGCAATTTAAGAAAAATAATAATATTTCAATTTAGCCCATAGGCTAAATTTGTAATTTGCAAAAGTTTATAAAAACTATATTATTTTATCTATCTTTTCATACATATATATTATATATTCATCCAAAAATATTATAAAATATTAAAATAGTAAATATATTTTATAGTATAAAAAAAATAATTAAATTATTTAAGTTAATTAAATTAGATAACCCAAAAAAACTCATTTATTTCAGTTAGGTTTTAGTTTAGATTTTTGCACATAAAAAAATTCATGTATTGTAGAATGCATAATATTATTAAACAAAAGACACATTAGAGATTGTAAAATTGCACAAAATTCTTACACCAAATGCACATTAATATACTTTTGTAATATAATTAATAATTAAATTATTTTATAATATAAATAATAAATTAGTTTATTATTTAAGTTAAGTTTATTAACCATACAGTTATTTCGGTTTGCTTTCAAGTTGAATTTTTACATATAATAATAATAATTATTATTATTATAAATATACCTTTATAATAATAAATAACATTTTATTTCAATTATTTAAGTTAATTTGATATACAACCATATCTACCAAAAATATAGTTTTCAAAAACACATAATCTACATGTGATTATATAAAGTATTGCACTTTATATATCAGCACCACGCACCTTATAACACTGCACGTTGCACATTATAAAACAAAACATCGCACTCTATCGCTACACTGCACGATTAACGTCAATAGCTCCCGCAAAAATACCACACGATATAAATCTAAAAGCCAGATATACTGATATATTAACATTAACAACATCATTTATACACACGAAATAAAGCATGTTAACGCACCAAATTTGCAGTGTGTCACTTTACATATCATAATGTTGCACTTTATAAAACAACATATTGCACTTTATAATACAACGCGTTGCACTTTGTCGCCACATTCCCCTAAAAATATTACGCAATATAAATCTAATAAACAAATCAACGCAATAATTTAATATTCATCATATCGTTTGTCCACAATAAAAAAAAAAAGAAAGAGAAAAAAAGCACATAGACCTACTAAAATTTAAGTATTGCACTTTAATATCCGTACGTTGCACTTTAAATAAAAATGTATTGCACTTTTTAACATATCATGTTGTACCTTACAAACGACATGTTGTCATACCAAAAATATGGTAATTATGATAATCTATTGAATAATATTAGTTAGTTAAACGGCGAATTTAGTTTTTTGAAAAATATACAGAATAATTGAACATGTCTAACTATATGAAAAAATATTAACGTTCATATATATATATATGTATATTTTTTTAATTAAAAACATATCACTATTTTTTATCTATATTTTTTATATGTTGCGATTGCATATTATAACTATACATATTGCACATAATTGT